ACATTGGGCTGAACATTGACCTTGGACCTCAGGGGTTCCTCCTGCTGGCTGCTGCACAGCAAAAGGTCAGAGACTGCATGGGGGATGCAAGGTCTTAGTAAGTAGGGATTACCACAGCTGCCTCCTCCTGATGCTTGAAGGGATCGTTTTCTGCCTTCTTCAGTGCAATGACAGCCGTCTCAGGCAGAATGCAGAGTAAACCTTATGCTACAGCCAGGGTGAGCGTTACTTTTTTTTTTCAAGCCATGTGTGGATACACAATTTATCTTGCAAGGTTTTCTGGCCCCCTTTCCTTGTGAGGTGTTTCATCTCTGCTACTAATACTGTGACCCATTGAAAACATTACTTTTTAGCATGTCTGTCTCGTACGTATGAGTTCCTGATTACTTAAATCATTCATTCCTCTCAAAGCTGCTTTTCACATAAGAGATGAAAATGAAGGACTGAGCCGCATTTACAAAGGAACAAGACCACAGGTTTTTCCAGTCTCTAGATCTGAAGAAGACACACTATAAAAGATTTATTTTCCCTTTGTATTTAAAATCACCCAGAAACAAAGACATCTCCGGCTTAATTAGTTGCTTTGGACTATTAAAAAGAATCATGCGAATTCAGGAATCATCAAGTCCTTTAGACTCCAGGCCTCTAATTCTTTCGGTCTTGCTGCTACATGTTAGTATAGGCCTAACTCTTGCATGCTTTCCTGTCAGCTCATCCATGCTTCCTCTATCTCTTCCATAGTAATGAATGAATGCGCAACAACAGGAAAATATCCACCTGGAAAGAATTCAGTCATAATTTTTACATAGTATTTAATACAATGTTGACACATGTATGGGAATTTAGGAAGGGATAGGTCAATATGAACTGAAGTTACTGGCCAAGTCTTAACTCAGGAAGTAAAATGTAAAGTGTTTCCTAGGACACATTGATTTTAATGTGTCCTGTAAAATGCAAGAGAAGTGTACCCATGTGTTTCTGGGGAAAAGACGGAAGATAGAGGTATTCTTTTGTGTGAAAATAACGAGATACTTACCAAGGCAACAGAAAAAGAAAGCACAGAATACCCAAGCTAAACAGCCACTCAAGATGAACACGGCTTCACGGGCATTCTGGCAGGAATGGTATATGACACATTGATTCTTGTTCACAAACCCTCCTTATATTATCTTTATAACAGCTAGCATGATAAAACATTTCCCATGAATAATTTCCCTGGGTAGCACTCTATTCTTCTTGTGGATACTTTCTTGTTTTTCTCTTGCACAGCATGTATATTGCCATTTGTACATAAGAATGGAGTGAAGTAGGTGTCTTGGCTTCCAGCTCTGTCTAGAAATCTCCAATTTTCATTGTTATTTTAGGCAAATCATTTTGTTCTTCTAGGTCCCTTCCTCATCTGCAAAATGAGAGTGTTGAATTAGATAACTTCTTGGTTTTTATTTGGTGTAAATTTTTCTTTCTTTCTCTTTCTTCCTTCCTTCCTTTCTTCCTTCCTTCCTTCCTTCCTTCCTTCCTTCCTTCCTTCCTTCCTTCCTTCCTTCTTTCCTTCCTTCCTTCCTTCCTTCCTCTCTTTCTTTCTTCCTTTCTTTCTTTTTGGTTTTTTTGAGGCAGGATTTCTCTGGGTAGCCTTAGCTGTCATGGAAGTCACTCTGTAGACCAGGCTGGCCTCTTCCTCCCTAGAACTGGGATTAAAAGTATGTGCCGTTACCTCCAGCTGGTGCAAAAATTTTATGATTCATGATTCCAAGTGAGACCACACCTGTCCATAATACCAGTTTAGTTATCTCATCATGAAAGTGGCAATAACAGTAATTACATACTTGCCGTGTATTCAAACCCCAAACCTATAAAACCCATAACTTCCTTGGATTTACAAATTATTTCAATAATAGCAAATTTACTATTGCTTGTGGTAAGGTTCTAATCTCTTCAGGATGCCAAAGAATGATGTCCATCCCATCATCCCCAGTTGGATATTAGTGTCTATGGACCACAAATATTGAAATTCGCTTTCCTACCAGAAAAATGACCCTCCTGCTCTGATAAACACTCACTGCTTGCTCAACCAGAGCCCCAAGTCAGATGAATGCATTTATCACAGGTCTTCAAGTGCCCTGAATTTGTAAACTTCAGCAGTGTTTATTTATTCTTTCCTGCTGTGGAAGATACTGTACCCAGGCCTGTTCTTCAATGGTAGGGAAAACTCTCAGGCTGAGAGTAGTGAGCAAAGACAGATGAGCCAAAGGGCTGCCGCTCATGCTGCCTCTGCTGCCTATTCATTGTCTCTTTGCATTTGACTTGGGCTTTGAAGGACATTTGCCAGAGCCAGACTACTGGGACCCTTGTTATTTGCATGTCTTTTCTCACCTTCAACATGATCTGAATTGATGTTTTCATTCCTTAAAAATAGCAAGCACATTCACTGGGAAACTCTTGCTGGAATCACTTCAGATCATCATAGCTCTTTATTCCCTGTCATAAACTGTAATCCTCCATTTCCCTTCCTCCCACATCAGGGGAGTTGGTGGTTTTATAGTGGACAGTCAGTGGGATTTCAATGAACGGTGGGAGACTTCAAAGAACTACTGAGTGATTACGTGGCAGGTTGTGGCACTAAGAACAAGACATAAAATATTCTTGATCTTGATCAGAGCTTGGCAGAACAAGAAGAAACAGGATTACATAACAGAACAAATGATTTGTAGCCTGTGACTATGCAGGAGAAAGAATTTTCTTGAGTGAAGAAAAATCAGAGTATTTACTTAATCTGGGTTTTTTTTTGTATGACAAAAAATACTAACTTGTGGTCTGATTGGTCTCAAATTTAGAAGAGTAGAGAAGCTAAGGACTTTCTGCAGATCAGTGTTTAATAGAAACATGAAATTTCATGATGATGTACTGTCTCAAAGTCCCTGAAGACCCAGAGATACCTAAAGAGCTAGGCACATGGAACTATGGAACTGTGGACAAGAGATCTGCGGTGTTGTGTGTGTGTGTGTGTGTGTGTGTGTGTGTGTGTGTGTGTGTGTGTGTGTGTGTGTGTAGGGGGGACAATAAAAATAATACAAATGTTTTCAAACAGTTGAACAGGAAGGAGATTGTCCATGCAAGAGAGCTGCTAAAAGGCATTAGATCCTATATGTTTGATTTTCAGTGTTGATGTTATTGTCAGCTAATTTTCCTAATAGGTAAAATAGTGTCAGTCATGTTAGCTGGATGTTTTAGGCCTGGAGAGACCTTAGAAATTATGATGCAAATAATGAATCATCAGAACATGACTTATTTGAGAGTTTCAGGGGAATGTGATGGAAGCTCCATCAAGGTGCCATAAGTATCAGAAACAAATAGGATTAATGGAGCTCATGTATCTCTCAGGGAATAGTGACCAGCATTCCCTTCTTGGAGAAATTGGGTAGGATCTTATACATTTTTCCCTTATAGAGACACTTCTGAGGGCAAGAGAAGTTTCAAGTTTCCCATGGGAAAAAGTTTCAGCCAGTGTTTATTGTATCTGGGTCTTTAATTGCTAAGGACAATATACAGCATCTACTCTAAGTCCTGAAGGAGCTTGAGAGGGAAGGAGTCTCAGAGTATAAAGACAGCAGTCTCAAGCATCAGGCCCCCTAGAGATCTTCCCTGCAGGAGTCCTCAGTCTAATCTGCACTTTGAACCCAAACATAAATCTAGAACAGGCTCTAATTTGTTAGTTTGTGCTAACAATAATATTACGGCTGAGGTGGATATCCATAGGGCATCTTGATTCTTGCTAGCAGCTTTGTCAAGAGTGTTGTGTGTGTGTGTTTAGTCAAAGAAAACCAAGATTAGATGTGCTAGAAAGAAAGAGATGAGAACTTTTTATTGAGGATGGAGCAAATACACAACTTCCCCTTTCCCCTCATCTTTACTCCTTGTAATTGTCTTTGGGATGAGCCTCTAAGCTGAGAAGTTACTGGACAGCACGTGCCATAAGGGAATTCCTATGAGATGAGTCATATAGGCTCTGGGAAGTCCAAGTGTCAGGACCTTGGGTTGCTGGTGGTATTAGCACAGTTGATCAACCACTTGGTTTCCACAATCAACCATTCTTGTCCTTGAGCTTCGAAGGGGTTCAGGATAGGCCCATGTTATTCTCTAGTGGAGACATCCTGTTCTCTGAATGATGAGCAAACCTAGATGGCTCTCGGGTAATTCAAAGCAAACTCAAAAGAGACCCTGGTAGGCAAAAATTCAGGGATGTAATTATCCAAAGGTTCCCCAGTCCTCAGGACCCTACTACTCAATGTAGAGTGCAACTGTTTCAGGGGACAGCTCCTCATTCTTGTGTTTTCTTAGGGTGAGCCCTAAGATAATGGTTGCTTGGGTTCCTGATATTGTTCTTGACACTAACCTTGATCTAAGCTGGCCTCCTCCAGCAACAGCATGGAGTATTTAATGATTATTGTTTTGGATCACTGCTTCAAAGAGAAAGCATGTTAAAATGGAAATTGCTGGATTTGAACAGTTTCTTTTCTGTAAGTGGCCCTGGTGACCCTGGGTCTGTGCTTTGGAGAGGATCCAGGAGGTGCCTGGTATAATCAGTGATGAAACTGTATGAATGGACATCATATTGTCTAAGGGAATAAGGTAAAATGCAATCTACTTTTATTTTTCCATCTATAATAAAATAGAGAGAATATGGACAAGCAATGAGATTTTTCCTTTAGTCCTCTTTTACAAAATAGGTTTCGAAGAGCATGAAGGTAATATTCTTCAGGCAACCATCTCAGGTCGAATCTTACATGTAGATGCAATAATGAGGCACCAGAAACTGAGGAGGATCTTGGCCCTTGCCAGGATTTGTATCAGAAAAGTAACATTTGACTTTAGTATTTTGCTAGGGATGTGAGCAAAGGAACAATCTCATTATGGACAATGGTAACTCTAGACATTGTCTAGAGACAATGGGATCTCTGGAGTGGTATTCATTCACTCCTCATCACCAATCCATTTCATTCCAGATGATCAACTGAACTCAGAGGAGAAGAAGAAGAGAAAGCAACGGAGAAACAGAACGACCTTCAACAGCAGCCAGCTGCAGGCCTTGGAGCGTGTCTTCGAGCGGACACATTACCCGGATGCTTTTGTGCGAGAAGATCTTGCACGTCGGGTGAACCTCACTGAGGCTAGAGTGCAGGTAACACATGCTTTGGGTGGCAGACACCAAGTGTCGCCTCCACTACGGACCCATCTCTGAAGACTGTTTATGAATCCAAGTTGTAGGTTTGGGACTGGAGCTGATACTGATAAGGGTTGTGCATATGAAGTATGACACCAGGTTTTGTATCTTTACTATGTTTCTTTAGGTTGAATGGTATTTTTAAAAATCAAACAGAATGCCTTTTGGAAGGATAGAATATGCTGTAACAAGGGCTATCCATTTCCCATTGTTGTGAGCCTTGTATTTGGTGTTCTATTACACCATCTACGTGAGCATTTACCTCTGCAGCCCCAGCTTTCAGTTTGAGCCCCACCTAAGCTATTAACTCCCCCTCACCTGAGTGTTCCTCTCCAGCTTAGGAGAATAAATAAACCTTCCAGTACCTTGGTCTAAGTACCCATGATTATGAATGGTGATAAAGACTGGAGATGAATATGAGAAAATAAGTTAAGAGTACACTCAAAGTATATAACTTCTTATATCTCCACTGTCTCTATGAAATAAAACAAGTCAAGGGGAGGTAGAGTAATGGTGACTCCTTCAGTTGGAAGAGGAGTGTAAGCTTTTCCACATGGGGAGGCGGGCTCCCCACCTCAAAGTTCTCACCATGAGACAAGAAAGAATTGCAGTGTCATGATGCAAAGAAAGACATCTAGGTCTCTTCTGTGGCCCTGAGGAAATTGAGACAGAATGATGAGGGTATACCTCTATGTTGGCAGTCAGGGCTCATATAGTAACAACACAGTCCTGTTCTCTCCACCTCATCATACTCACAGAACTGACATTAACTCCATTGTACACCACCCTAGGCTGCCTTCCATACCGTGCTATGAACTCTCCGTGCTTGCCTAACCATCTACATCTCCTATTTCCCCAATTTCAGCCTACAGTGAAATGAATAACTTTAAATGAGCAACACACACACACACACACACACACACACACACACACACACACACACGCACATTCATGTGTACACATGCACAGCACACACACAAAACATGCTCTTCTCTTTGTTTTGGCATTTTATTTTTTATTGTTTTTTGTGTTTTGACTATTGTTTTTGTTTTGTTTATTTTTTGAGAGAGGGAGAGAGACAAAAAGGCAGAGAACATGAGGCTGGGTAGGTGAGGAGGTAGAGAGGATGTGGGAGGCATTGGGTGAGGGAAAAGAATATGTTGTATGTAAAAAATTAAATTAAATATACTAGTAGCCCCTAGTATCTTAGAGAACCATTTTGCCATAGTGTTCAGAATCTGAAAATGGAAACATAGAGAGATCAATGGTGAAAATTGTTTTAGAATTCAGAAGAGTAACTTTTGAGCTAGGAAATTGTCTTGTCCAATTACAATTGTTGAATGTCATGCATGTACATACATAGGCACACATATGCACATACCTGCATACACATACATGGTAGGAGAGATAGGAAAATTCCATCTGTGTATCACCTGTGTGTCTATTGTCTGTCTCTTTTCTTCCCTTCCTTTTCTACCACACTACAAACCAATGCCTTCTGCTTCTGTGAACATTTCCTAGGTGAGTGGCACAGAATTGTTCCTCTCTGACTTTATTATTCCTCTGTAAAGTCCTAGGCTTTCCCAGATTAAACCAATCCCTAACTCTGGGACTCCATATTCAGGACATTCATCATAACATGACAGGTACTATATGGAGTAATCTGTGGGCCAACTCCCCTTACTGGGTGGTGGAGTCCTCTTGTGTGGGGATAAGTTTTATTCAGCCGTGCAAAATTCATTTCTCCCCTTTTCCTCAAATGCTTATTGAACAACTATGGACTTTTTGACCTTTTTTGATTTGTTGGAAATAAATAAGACACCGGCCCTCTTCTTAAGGATGCCACAGTCTGAAACAGATGGAAAAAATGACCAAACCATCAAATGATGCTATCATGAGATGATCCCCACAGTAAAGAAACCTACAAGAATTATTGATAGAGTAGAAGAATGATCCACTCTGCCCAAGGGAAAGGAAGGGACTATGCCCTTATAAACTGTACACTGTGAACCAATTCATAACCATCTGTAAGCACGTCAGTCATTTCTAATCAACTATGGGACAAAGTAACAGACAAATTAAATAACAGTTCAATGATAAATCCCTAGTGTAGTACAGCTTGTATTGTTAGGCGATTCTCTTAGACCTTGAAGTCTATGCCTTTCACTATGACACTTCATGGAGGAAGTGATGTTACAATAAAATCTTGGATTTGATGCCTGGACAGGGAGAAAGAATACTACCAGTAGAGGAAATATCTGATGTAACTGCATATAGATGGATAGTCACTTACTTCACTGTCATTCTTTCTTTAATTTGACTAAAACATTTGCTTTGTATTATTTCAGATGTACTTACATACCTACCCTTAATAAATTTTGAGCTGCTTGGCAAAAACAGTTCTCTTCATCCCTTTCTTCCCAGCTTTTAGTACAAGGCCTGCACTCCAGTGAGCACTCCACCAAGAGTCCTTGAATGAATATAAGTGAATGAATAAAATTCCATTGAAGTATAGGAGATCTGTATGGTCATGGGTTAGACATCCTGAAGCAAAAAATTAACCAGTTACTATTTGCATAAACATTAGTATTGTAATCTCACTGGGCATGTTCCTTCACTTCAAAGTAGAAATGATAAAACCCGATATGTAGAACGTCATGCTAGGTTGAAACAGTGTGTCTAAGTCCCAGTGTAGGTTACTAGTCCTAGGTGCAGTTTAATAAGTGATGGGTTTATCATTAGCTATTGAGGATGCTGCCAGGCCACCCACATCTGTTGAGATGTACAAATAAATGTCTTCCAGTTGAATTCTCAGGCTAGTGCCTGTTCTTTTCTGTTGAGAGGTTTGTTTGTTTTTGTAGAACATAGATAGGTTTCCCTGTCTGTATCAATATATTAGAAGTGCTAGACCCTGATAGCCAGGAGTCATTGTATGGATATACCCATGGGGGCAGAGGGATCTCCTGGAACATCTATCCTCAATTAGTCTTGATCCCTGGAGTCACCATTTGATTGGGCTCTCATAGGATTGCCAATTTATTGGGTACTCTTTAGTAGTCCTTTTTCTTCTATTGTAGCCTCCTTCTCTGATGGCTTTTCCTATACCTCTTATATGAATCATTTTCTTCTGAATCCTTGCAGAAGGCTTGGGGAACTAAAGAGCTTTCTTTAAATAATAAACACCATGAAAGCAGAGGAAAATTTCACACTTTGAAGAGTTTTTTTAAATGCCCTTGGAAATCATTGTATCCATTGCCAACATCAAACAAAACCCTCATTTTATTGATTATAACTGCAGCAGGGTTTGTAAACTACATTTTGTGGTCTCGTCGATTATTCAGAGATCCCACCTCTGGATTCTTAATTACTAGAAGTATTTCGTGGTCCTTTAGCGAGGGGGGTTAAGATGGGGCTTTGTCCATGCTAAGCTCTACCCCTGAAGCGTCCGTTCCACAGACAGAGAGCTTTTACTGCGAATCACATAGCCCACAGGGGAAGGATTACATTGCAGTATTTCTGTTATTTTAGGAAGGGTTCCAGACCCATCCTGTATCTTTCTTGGGATGACATTATGTGGAAAATCAACCAAAATTTCATTCATGTAACCTGTTTTTCTTTGTTCTTCCTCTCCCTCTTTATATCTTTCTCCCCTCCCAACAACATTCCAGGTGTGGTTTCAGAACCGAAGAGCCAAGTTCCGTCGGAATGAGAGAGCCATGCTGGCCAATAAAAACGCTTCCCTCCTCAAGTCCTACTCAGGAGATGTGACTGCCGTGGAGCAGCCCATCGTACCTCGGCCTGCTCCTAGACCCACCGATTATCTCTCCTGGGGGACAGCCTCTCCATACAGGTGAATGAATGGCCCACTCTCCCTTGCTCCACTTCCACACGCTTCTCAGCCATCCACCACTCTCAAGGCTGCTTTTGCAGCTGGCTGACATTCCTTACTCGGTTAACCTCTTCAGAGACATTCAACTTGCTGGCATCCCCACATTTTTACAGGAGATTGCTGGTTGCCCCAGGAGCAGGGTTTGGGGCAGAAGAGAGAGGGGCGGCCATCAGCAATCTCCTCTTGGACTCAGGAATTCTTGCCAAGGTTGCAAAACCAGGAAAGAATATAAAAGAACAGATCCTTTGAAAACTGTGTCCAGTGCCCCTCTTGGAACCATTCTGGAACAAAACTATCCCGTTTAAGACACCTTTGCTGTGTTGCGGTTAAGTAGGGAATCAATGTGTAATGCTCCAAGTGTAGGACTAAAAGCTCTCTTCCCAATAAAACTGATTTTGAATTAAAAGGTCAGGAAGGAGGGAGGGAGGGAGAAGAAGGGAGACACAGGGAGGGAGGAGAGGAAGACTCAGCAACAAAGAAGTTCAATCACTTACATGACCTTGTTAGTGTGAAAGGCTTTCTTAAGACCCTCAAATGCCTTCCTATTCTATTTGTAATTCTTATGTATTCCAATGTTTATCCCTCCCTCTTTCTCCCCTCCTCTCTCTGTGATGTGCTTCTTTCTCTCCCACTCTGTGTGGTATGTTTTAAATAGGAAAAAAAATACACCAAACTGTTGTATTAAAAAGGAATTGTTTGAAGCAGAAAATAACAGAGGACCATTTCAGTCTCTATTTGAAGACTTTTATGTTCCATCCAGGGCGCTGTTCAGAAAGCATAGGTTGATGCAGTGGCATCCAGGATTCCTGTACTTAGTATATGATCAGGCTCCTGTGCCCTTCTTTAAACCCAGGAGACACCAGGTTAAGGCTCTATATTCTGACTGGCTGATTTCTATGGAAGGACTATGCACATGTTTGTTTTTCTATTAAAAGCATTTGTTTATCTTTTGTCGTTAAAGCTAGTTCTTGACCTAAGGAGTGGTTTAAAACTGGTTATAGGAGATTGGGCCACGCTAAAGATGTGAAATGCACATTTGGGAAACACAAGTACTTTCCCACAGTGGGTAGGTGTCATTAAATCCCAAAGCCTCATCTAAATGGTCTTTCTGGTTCAAATAATTTCTCCAGAGAAATGCCATGAATGCATTTGGGAGTTTGGGGACATTCCTTGTGAAATTAGCCTGAAGTAGTTCTGATCTCAATGGTAGATAACCCTTGTCTAGGAGAATGAGAGGGACCTATTCCTGTTCTGGATCTTCATCACCCCCAACTTGGCTGACTTTGAAAGATCATGTCTATGTTCCTGTTTAAAATTTAGATACTGCTTCTCCCATTGAACTTACTAAAAACATATATTGGAGATTGTTATGGAATAGCATATTCTTTAATATTTTAAATAAGCAGAAGGCCTGTTGTCCCTACAACTATTGATCTGATAGTCTACAGATTCAGCGAGCAGCTTAAGATATGGGTAGAATTCAGGGTCTGCTGCATTAAGATCTCTGGTTTGAATTTGGTTGCAACCAGGAAGAATTGCTCCTTTCCTTGGGATTTTTTTTACACCCAGCTATCAACAATCTACATGGCTGCCATGTGGGCCCTACCAATGGAGCCAAACACAGCATATTACACAAATGGAGATGAGATCCATCCTGAACTAGCATCGAATTAGGTCAACTTAACCAAAGATAGACAAGTTTCTGCATCCAACAGAAACTAATAACATGGCAATTTGTGTGTTCCTTTTGGGAAACATTCCATTTCAATGGAAAAAAATAGAAAAATTCTAGATACATTTCAAAAATCCACTCATAATTTCAACATCTTGACAGAACTAGTCATTTTATGACTAGAGTTCAATATTTTATATAAGGATAATCTTAGTGTATATTTTTTGTATCATGCTTTTTTCATTTAAGACTGTATAACTTAGTTCCTTTTACTCATTTCATGATATGCATTTATTTCTATTACATACAGTATTTGTAAAAATCTAAGGGAAGTGATATAGAAGCTGATTGTTTATATTTTGTATGGAGAATAAGTTAATATCCAGTATAAGAAGAAAAACAAAAGTTTAAGGCAACAGTTTAATGAATGATATGTTTCTTTGACTTAATGTTGACTCAAGTGTTTATAATTTGGTTAATTTCTGAAAGTGGCAAAGGCTATTGTGTTACTTGGGGATTTTTTTCGGCTATTTTTAGAATCAAATACATTACAATATTACTTTTGGAACCTTGCTAGAAAACATAATTGTTGTTAAGGAAATATAAAAGAAAACCAAATGATGAAAAGCAAAGGAAATGATAGTTGTTGTTGCTATTGGTACTATTATGTCAAGCTAGTTGCCTCATATGTGCTACTCATTAAAAGGCATTTCTCTTGGTTAACCTCTAGTGCATTCCTGTGTGATAGCTCTGTCCTTGCCCTGACTCAAAACAAGAGGGAACTGAACACTTCCCCAGGTTTAAGTCTTCAGCAAGCAGAATTAGGGCTGTACTTCTGGGCCCTGTTTCTGTCCAACACACAGGGATGCATAACCAACCTATTCTATTCAAATTTCATGTTACATTGCATTGGAAGTATTGAAAACTATAACATTGTGGAACTATCTAAATGCTCCTTATTGGTTCAAGCACTCTTTCTTGATCAGCAAAGCATGTCTGCGCCTGGGGTCTCTATCCTGTGGTGTGGCACCCCAGTGGAATGATCTGTGTGGTTAGATCATGAAACCCAGGGACAATGAGTAGACAATTTTGTTAGGGAGAATGGTTTTCCGACTTCTATAGGTCGTCTCTGGAAAAAGAACAGGAAACCAAGTCATAAAAGCAGCTATTTGCCTATGGTCAGAACCATAGGCTGGGAAGTAACCACCGGCCTTTCTCCTGTTTTTGCTGGATGTCTTTACTATTGAGTGTAAAGACCATAGACCATATCATCTGCACTGGGAAGGTTTTAGAATGATATTAATAATTACACTAGGACAAAGGGTAAAAACCAGGATCATCCCTGGGAAACAAGGACATTTAGTTCACTCTAATTGTAGCTCACTTTGACCTCACTCATTTTCCTGAATACACTAGATGGTGATGTTGAACAGGCAACTGAGGTACCAGAGGGAGCAAAGGATTTCCTAACATGGACACTACTTTCCTGGCAGAGGTTGTTATTGACTTATTGTAGCTAATTGAAGCAAGCTTGTCTTTGAGACATAAACCCACTTCTTACCAGAGAATTTTCTCTAAGCAAATTATGAAAATGAAAATGCACATACACACTAAAATTATCAAGCCTTACTAGCTTTGCAGTGTTATGCCTCTTGGGTAGCAAAACTCAACCAAATCCCATACTATTCTTGGAGACAAAGTAGCGAAGAAATTCTTCCCCAGATACTTCTGTTCCTCTGAGAGGTAGCTTGCAAATGGCTTGGCTCCATAGTACTTGTCCAGAGTGCCATTTATAGAGGGAGGGCTGGACTGGAAACCAGTGGCAAGGGAAAGAAAGGCTGATTACTCTTGTACAATGTCCCCCCCTCATTTGGTCTTGGTCATGGTGCTTCTGACATCTGCTCAACGCATTTGGCTCATTTCTCCCTTTCACACTTTCAAAAATAGATCTTCGTCCCTCCCAAGATGTTGTTTACACGAGGGGCTTCATAACGGATTCTAACGGAAGACACTGAAAAGGTAACTTGTCAGATGGGGATAAGGGTGGCTTCTTGGGGTAGGGCTTAAGGGGAAATTAGTTTTTGTTTTTTGTTTTTAAGAAACTGGGGACTGATGTCTTAGAAGTATAAGCAGTGGAGGTTCCCCAAGTGGGAAATTAGAAGTCAAAACTATAAGAAAGCATGCCCTTTAAGGGAGTGTGACAGTCTAGAGCAGCTTTCCTCAAACACGGTTATGTTCCGGGATCACCGGGCTGTGCCTATGAAGACTAGGATCCATTAAGTCTAGAGTGGGGCTGGGATTCTGCATCTCCCTGTTGTTCCACTCTGAAGTAATTCCCATGATGGTCATAACTGACAAACTTTGACTAGGGAGGCTTTAGATCCCCAAAGTATGAGCCAGGTATCAGACAACATTATTGTTCTGCTTCTGTTGCTTCTCAGGCCAATAACATAGCTGATTTACTATATTGAAAATTGAGCTAGACATAATTTCCTTATTGAATGTCTCACAAGGGACTTGAGAATCTAGGGATAAACAATATGGCATACTCAATATTGAAAAAGGGAAATGCAAAAGATCTGGTGGCAGTGGGAAGATCTTTCTACAAAGAGAAGTATTAGAGTGAACATTGTAGAGGGATCACAGAATGCACAGTGGAAACTAAGGCCTTACCAATCAAATGGGGTCCCACGTGTCTACTTAAAAAAACAAAAAACAAAAAAAACAAGTCTACATTTTAAAACTCAACTTCCAAATTTCAAACAGAAGCAAGAAATGATGATTTAAGTTACATAGGCACACCACCAAAGGATTTATGAAATCTCACTTTAGAAGTAAATTTCCCCAGGAAAACTGAAATTTACTTTTCTAGGGTGACATAAGCATTCCTCCATTGTTCTTTCCTTGACAAAAGAACAAACCAAAGAGATGGCCTCCAACATCTGCATTTCAGGGTTCAGAAAACTACAAACTAGAGCCTGTTAAAGATAATCTAGAGTGGGTGGAAACTTGGATGCTAAGGACCGTTCACATGCTTCTTAGGCTGTCATAATCATCTTTAGGGTGACATTTTTGTGCAGCTTCTCAACCATTATTGAAAAAAGGCTGACCACAAAATAGCATTAAAGATTGAATCAAGCATTCACATTCCTCCTTAATTGTTTTGTGATTTATAGGACTGACACTATGGGCGATTAGAAGTCAAACTATTAAGAGTATTTGCTATACCTCCTTGGTATTGGCAATTATTTCTACTCCATTTTCCTTAAGAACTACCTCTCAGAGCAAGTAGAATTGGTCACAAGTGACTTGCTGGTGGGGTGAGTTGCTGGGTTGCATCTGCTTGGAATCTCCAAATAAGGAAGTGGAAAACCTCAAGCTTCCCGAAATGTGTCAGTTCTGTGATGTCCCACTGCAGACTTGATGAGTCAGCAGATGGAAGACAAGCCTTTCTTTCTCATCCCTAGTGTCTCCATGTGCTTTATTTGGCAACTCAGTTTCTTGGTTACAGATACAAAGAGCTTTGTTGAAAATTCAGCAGAAATGATACATTAGCCAACCTTTTTAAGACTCGGTCCCAGGACTCATATGTGCTCCCTGCTTACAGGAATGAGAAATTCTTGCCAAATGGGAGACTAAGCATTTGAATGTTTGTCAGTTGACCGGGCTCTCAGTGGTTGTCCTGTGTTTAACTGATACACATCCCCAAGTTTCTGTCTTTTTTTTTTTTTTTTAATTCATTCGGTGTAGAAACAAGTGGTATTTTTACATGGGCTGGATGACCCATTCATTGGGTGAAATCAACTAATTACCTTTGCTGGTTTCTCTGTGGAAGATATTTAAGGGCTCTCTCTCTCTCTTTCTCTTTTCCTAAAGCAGAGTTTTAGACATCTCCATGTCATAGAAAACAGGCGGTCATTAATAGTCTCTCAGATTGGCAGCCATTCAAGGCTCTCCTGCATCTGTTGTCACTTAAGCAAGCAAGTCTTCCACCTTCCAATACTATGTTTAAAGCATAACTAAGCAACTCTTGGGACACCAGTAGTTAATTCTCTCTTTTCTAACTGATAAAAAGTCTTGTTTGTAGTGGTATGTCAAAAAGCTGCCCATTGCTTACCTATACTGCACATTTAGCTTGAGCTGTAAGAAGAGACCCATGTCAAACACCCAGAGAAAAATATATAAAAATGACTGGAAGTCTTATTTGTGGGATTATATATCTTAAACACTTGTTAAGAATCAGAGAACGGAGATGATGTCTGTTCTTAATAGTCTGCATATACAGCTAACAAATACTGTAATACTAGGTTTGTCCAATCTTTGAAAATTAGTGACTTTCCTAAGCATTTATCAGGTGAAACTGGTATCACTTACCAAATTTCCCAAAGGAGTGCAAATGTAATATCAACCACTTTCTTAACTTCTGACCTTGTAACTTGAGGGACATCTGTCATATAACATTGCCACAGAATCACTGCTAGGATGGTGCTGTCATCACTACAGTTCCACAAAATGCAAAGAGACATTGTTCTCTGTTGTGCTTTAGCAGGCTGTCACTTGAATACCTTGGTGAATATTCACTCTCTAGTGCAAGATGCTATCTTAATTCTTATTCATTTGGTTTTGAGTGAGAAAGTGGATCGATTCATATTACTTAATGTCAACCTACCTTAGAAAAGAAACTCAATATTTCTACAAGAGGTGCTACCATACAAAGTATTCAGGCTAGGAAATCAGATGAGATATAAATAGTAGACTATGAAATAATTCTAGTCAAAATGTGTGCTACAGCAGAATTGATACCAACACTATAGTAGACAATTCAGAAAAATGGTAACACCAAGTCAGAAAATTAACACATGCTCCCAAGGTTCTAATCCCTTCTTCCAGTAGGTTCAGTTATCAAAAAAAGGGGGAATTTCCATCAAGTAGGACCTTGCTGCCCAGGATCTCAAAGGATGGGGAATCACTCTCTTAGAAACTTGGGCCAAGTATCTAAAAGCATAATCATTCCATAACAATTTACAATGGTAATTTTTTCTTCAAGTTTTCTTATGTATATTCAGAAGTCCCTCAATTGTCTTCCCAGAATTTAACAAATAACACAGACACCCTGTGATGCCAGATTCTGCTCCAAGTGTTTAAAACAGCCATAACTGTAGACTATCTCTAGGACTTGATATTCTCACAGAAACCTGGTTGAGAAAGGCTAATTTTATTTTATAATAATCCACAATTTAGGTACACAAATTCGGTTATCTCTTTTCTTAGTATTTTGTTTGCCCTTTTTTTGTTTTTGTTTTTGAGACAGGGTTTCTTTGTTTAGCCCTGGATGTCCTGAAACTTACTTTGTAAACCAGGCTAGCCTCAACTCAGAGATCCACCCGCCTCTGCCTCCTAAGTACTGGGATTAAAGGTGTGTACTACCACATCTAGCAGCTACTAAATTTTTGAGTGTTTGGTATAGTCTAGAAATTTTTGAGCTATAAATTTTGGGTATGCATTGATTTTTAGTAGGGTGTTAGTTAGAAGCATGTAATTCATCTAGAAAGTAAATTATATCTGTTTGGCTTTTGTTTTTCCTGTGTTAGCAAATTGTTCTTGTTGTTTACTCATTCATAATTTAAGCCTGCTTTAACTGAGGACTCTTCTGCCTCTTGGATGGACAGTGATAAAAAACAGTCTGTTTTTATTAAGCTTTCATGTATTAATGTATTTTTTACTATGAAAAGATGTCTTTATAGATATAGGAATATGCAATGGTTATGCCCTCTTATGCCATATCCTTCTGACTCTTTCCTTCCATTAAGATAACAAATTTTACAGAAAGAACTAGTCCTCAAGAATAAATGAATTCCTTTTTGAGAGCACTACAGCAGGATAATAGAGGTCAGGGATGCTGAGCACAGGTCAGTTTAATCATTCTATAGCTAGTTATGGCTGTTTGTTCAGTAAACGGTTTACTGAACACCAAGTATGTGCTGGATGTGTTGTCAGTTCTACCTGAAGACACGGTGATGAGGAAAGCAGATGTGGTGGTCTATGCAGCTTATAGAAAACAATCATAGACCCTGAACAAGTTATTAATTAAATATGAAGTAAATGAGTAAAGCAAAAATACAGGGTATTACAGGAGAACCTAGCCTTGCCTGGGGAGGGAGGCTTAGGACCCAGAAATTGATCAGGAAGAGGGAAGAGCTAGAAAAATGAAATGTAAGAATGTAGAATTCTTTTGTAACTCGAGTATTGTACCTTTTGTTGTAATGTAGACTTTATCCTCACAATGACTTATACCTATGTAATAAAGCTTTTAAAAGATTTGTTTTATAGAATGATTAAGTGATCCAAAACTGTATATTTCTTTAACTCATTTTTTTCTTGGTAAATGCTAGAATCTGAAATAGACTACTGTGAGTCTTAACTCTAATCTTGACTCTGTGCTGCCCCAGATAAATGCTGATGGTCTATTCTCTCTAGCTTTAGTTTTCCTTCTTTCTGATCTTGTCATCCGATCCCAGAACCACAAACTCCTGTGTGGCTGACAAAATTTCACTGTGATGCAGGAGGCACAGAAGCACATGTCACTCCATTTGTAAATCTCATCTCAGCTCAGTTGAGAGGGATCTTACTCATCTCAGAAACAGCTAGAAGCATTCTACTTAGTCCAGTAAGTCTCATTTGAGATCTTTTACACAGAGAAAGAGGTAGTTTGCATCCACATTTATACACCCCTTTCTTTTCCTTTAAAAGAGATTCGTGGATGCAATGAATAGAAACCCACCAATGATGAGTTCTTGCCTAGGTCTTAATTATAGTCTATGACAATAAAAATTAGCTTCACATTTCTCTCAGTAACATAGACAGGGAGAAACAGTTATGTCTGAAATCAAGAGTGGCAAAACTATAACTTGGGAAGTTTATTTTGAAATTTTAAATATTTCCAAAGTGACTCACCCCAAAGGTGGTGTGTGCTAGTCACTTTGGAGAAGTTATAAAAATCAAGACCCATTGACAGGAAAGTCTTGATTTGACAATGTCTGTTACTATTGTCTAGTGAACACAATGTCAGAGGAGGAAGTTGGGTTGTTTAACCAATTCTACAATCACATCATTTCTTATAGTATTATTGAGTGAAGAAGTAAAATTCTTTCAGTCTAGTGTTACTGACCTCCTTCACTGGTTCCACAGGCTGTCTGATATGGGTAGGAAAGCTTAGACTGTGTTTAAGTAGCTGATGAAACTCCTGCTATTTGACTTGAGCAGAATCTCCTTTTCCTTCAGAAACAAATCATTACTCACTGTATCCAACACAGCAAATACCTCTTCCTACCCTATTTCATTTCCTCTGCTTCCTCAATGTCCTATAAAAGATGACCACCCTTTTCCAAGGACCTTAGACTAATTGAAAGCTGGGGCTGTAAGAGACCCCAGAGGTCCTCTATCCACCCTACTGCCCTGCCTGCCCCTGTCCTGAGAGTATATCCACCCAGGGCATGGACTTGCAGCTTTATGACACTAATGCCTGTTGTTCTCCCTGCTCTCTCCTTTGTCCCTACAGCGCCATGGCTACTTATTCTGCCACATGTGCCAACAATAGCCCTGCACAGGGTATCAACATGGCCAACAGCATTGCCAACCTGAGACTGAAGGCCAAGGAATATAGTTTACAGAGGAACCAGGTGCCAACAGTCAACTGAGGAAAAAAATAATTAAACAGGCCTAAGAAGAAATCAAAAACCATAAGAGACCTATCCTGTTCTGTCATTTCTTCATCTGCTGGAAAAAATCAAATCAAACAAACAAACAAAGCCAGAACTAAAATATTGGGACCATGGCGGAGAAAAGCAGGAGAGGAACAAAACGAAAATTAGTTAACAGTGGTTCCTTCTTCCTCTCGGATACCATCACCATTTGCTTCTGTGTGCGTTCATTTTGTTTTCCTTCTATCCGTGCTTTGCTAATTATACTCCAAGCTTCTTCAGTTAGGCTCAACCCACCCATTCCTGTAATTGTATGAGAATTAAAAAAAAAAAAACTTCAGCAGCCAAAGAAACACACACACATATATATGCACACATATATACATATATATACACATATATGTATATATACATATATATACACACACACTTGAGTGTGTGTGTGTGTGTGTGTGTGTGTGTATGTGTGTGTGTGTAAGATTATGTCTCAGTAACCTGTTTGACCTCAGTGCCTTATTCTGTCTCCCAAGTATCTCTAGGAGATTTTTGAAAATCCAAAGTATTTCTGAGGAATCTGTATGTTGTCTCCATGTCTGTTGGTCATGGTAAGGTTTTTCTATCAGCTTCACGAAAAAGAAATGTACACATGTTCTGGTGTTTGACCTGTCTGATTGATGTGGTTGGCCATGTCTGGTGAACTCTGAGCTCTAAGGTCTTGAGCGAATCTGTGGACTTAAGCTCTAAGTGCTAGGTTATAATGTTATCAACACCATCCCTCATCTAAACCAAACAATAAACCATCCTAAGTTAAAGATATTTGTTGTTTTTGAACATTTTGAACAATTGCTGTCATTTGCTCTTTGGTAGAAGAAATACTTTTGGCTTTAGAGATGGAGAGAAAGTTTTGTAGGAAATTTTGTAGGATTTTTTTTTTTTTTTTTAGGAAAACAAATACTGAATTGTGAAAGGTATAGCCTTTATCTCTTTGGTGCCTTAGGGGTGGTCAGATGCACACCCACACACCCACACACACCCACACACCCACACCCACACACCCACACCCACACCCACACACACACACACACACACATATATATATATATATATATATATATATATATATATATATATATATATATATATATATATATATATATATATATATATATATATATATATATATATATATATATATATATCCTGTGTATATTTATATATATTATATATAAAATATTGCAAGCTTGAGTTTGCAGTTTCTGAAACACTATAAAAACAAACTTTACACAGTCATCATTGTCCTTTTCTACACAGCAATGATATATTAATGTGGCATCTTTTTTTTCCATACTCTGCATAAAATTCTCATTAAGGTCAGAGATCAATTTTCTAGGAAACTGTTTGAGAACAGCTTTCATTTTCACTTTAAGGCTTTAAAGGGGTTAGGAATTATTTGACAATATAAGAATGATCTTGAGTTTGGAGCCTGAGCTTAAGCGGAAAGTCTGTATCATCTGACATATCATAGGAAATACACACAGAAAGCAGGGGTGGGGTAGTTAGCCATCTGCTCTTTTCCCACTCCACAGAAAGATGAAAAACAATTAACGTATTTAACTGAAGTTCTTAATACTTTCTCTGAATCCCCCCCAAAAAATTAAGGGCAATCATACTTTTATATTTTAGTATTTTTGAAATGAGGTTTAGTATGTAGGGTGGGATGCGGGGCAGGTATTTTTTGTTTCTCTTTGTTCCCAGCTATGCTTTGTCAACTTTCCTGGTGGACTTGACTGAACCATGTTACCATGCTGTGTCAAGTTTACCTATTTATAAAATTTGTGTAACAACTCTTACATACCTCACAGGGATGCTGTGAGGCTATGCCTGTTTGTTCCCTCCCCCCCTCCTCCCTTCCCTCTCCCCTCCCCCTTCCCTCCCTTCCTTCCTTCCTTCCTTCCTTCCTTCCTTCCTTCCTTCCTTCCGTCCTCGTTCTTTGTTTATCCAGCACTTTGGAGCTATGGGAGGGAAGGGAGCATATAATGTTCATGGACTAGAAGCTTTGTTTTCAAGCAGGAAATGGTATCTGGCTGTACATACATATAACCTTGTATTTGGAAATGATAAATAGGTTTATATTTTCAGATATCTCAATGATCACATCATTTGACCAAAGAATAATTTAAGGCACAAAGTATAGAGATATTTTTTAACTTATATTCTCATCAATAGCTTGGCAACCATAGTTCTCAGTGAATAAAATGCTTCAGATTGATTTTGGCCAAATATGTCAACTTTGTAATATGAGTGACAGACAAAATATTTGGGGTATAAGATGTACTTTCAGCACACACTTGTATTTCCCTTGGCATATCTAATCAAGCTAATGGTGATTTTTTTCAGTCTAACAGCCACTGATCTGAAAATATATTTAAGTGGTTTTGTACTTTGTTTAGTAATGAGAAGGAAGACCATCTTGTGTCCTTTAAGCTCATGAAGTGAATCCTTCTCAATAACACCTATTAAAACATTTCTTTCAGAATAGTTCATATGGTCTGTCTTAACACACATTACTTGTTTTTAAGGAGTCTTTCCACTCATGTATCCGTCCCGTTGATTGCTGTGTATCATCAAGTTTCAAAGGAACAGTGCATCCTTTTTGTAAAAACTTCCTTGGATTTGTAAAGTGAGTACAAGTCCAACAGATTGGTAAACTTTGGGGATTTCAAGTTTGCAGAGAATAGCTAAAAGATTTGGGTTATAATCAAGGAACAAAATTTAGAAATGAGGTTTTGCTAAGGAGGGTAGAATCGTGGAAGAGAATCATACAAGAAAGTTGTTTGAATCCTTCATCCCGACTCTATTTCCAGTGGCCATCAAAAGAGCCTGATCTATAAACTCAAAGGAGAAAGTGGGAGGCTTTACCTGATGCTTCCAATCAGCAGTTTCTAGGAATTCATAGAATAACCTATGCTAGTTAGTCACAGGAATGCCTGTTCCTGGTGGACCCACACCACAACATCTTTATCTGAGCACTTATCTGGATATGTCTCTGAAATACTAGCACTCAATTTTGTTCATTTATGATCCACTTTTAAATTCAACATAAGTTTAACAAGTGATTTGGAGGATTAGATTTCTAGCTTATAAGTTAATTGCCAGAGGAGTGTCTCAGTGCCACAGACTCAAGGCATATACGCGTTGCTCTCCCCCAACATATACCCAGATGAAGGCATGAAACTGTCATTGTCCTCAATCCCTTCCCAAACAAGAGGCTAATTAGTAGAGTACTTGGCAGGTTAAATTAAACCAGAAGTAATGACCTAAGTAAATGACATATGGTAATAAAGATCTCATAAGAAATGTAATATGTAAATTATATCTTGCTTTATGATGTAAAATATACATTGTTTGTGCTAGAATAGAAATGATTTCTTTTCAATAAAATGGAAGACGGACACTACAATGTCTTTTGTTATAATACACTGGACTCGGATGATTATTTTTACTTTGAACTTCCAAAATGCAGAGGTGCTTGGATTCAAGATGGCCATGAGAATAGTGAAGGTAAGAATGGTTTATAAGCAAGAGAAAATTTTATCAAGTTATGATATTGTATCCAGTAAAAGGCAAATAAATGTATTCTTCAAAAGAAAAAGTAGTAGTGGGAGGAAGAAAGACTATCTGTATGTATAGTGGGAAGTTGAGGGCAGACCTTCTGATGAAAATTTAGCAATTTTACCTATGCTTTTAGCATCCACAATTTGACACACAATAAGACAAATAGTCTTCACATAAGGCACAAGCTTTTATTTTAGTATTGTCAAAATCAAGCATTTTAAGCAACCATTATATACAGAGTGGGTGGGTGACAATAAAGAAAACAGAAAAACCACATCATGAGGAACAAGTTGTTTTTATACTAATTAAAATCTGGTAAAAAAAAAAAAAGGCGACTTGAGAATTAAGAAATTTATGCAACAATTCGAGACAATCAGTTCATAGTTGTTAAACAAATAGAGTGCATAGAATAATTTCAGAAGAAGAAAGAAAACATTGAGCTGGAGTGGGACAAGAGGAGAGAGGAAGAAGCAAAGGGAGACAGGAAGGGACAAGGCAGGGGTGCAGCCTTGAAGGATCTGGACTCAGGAATCATGGCAAGATGGGGAGTTTATTTTAAAACTAAGTAGAAAAAACTCTGAAGTTTGATGTTGACATTTAACTTTCAGATAAAAGACATGAACTTTTCTTCGGGCCATAGAGACCCATAAAAGGGTTTTAAGCAAGAATGGCTTCTAAGCAAGAGGAAAAAAAAATAAAAAACCTTGCCATTTTGGCAGAACACTTCTTGCAAACAGGCAAAGATGAGCTAGAGCAGGGCAAGCACTGGAAGACAGATGTGACATATGGGGAATGGGGAATAGGGAAAGTCTTCCAAGGAAACAATCAATAGGACTGCCTAGCAAGAAGAAAAGAGTTGAAGATATCACTGACCAAACCCTGGTGACTCAGGAAGTCATCAGTAAAATTCATCAAAATCAACCAAAGAGGAGAGGCTCAGCCATTCACTGGGAAGGATGATGCAGTCTTAGATTGTTGAAGCTGCCAACACCAAGTGGAAGCTCCTGGTAAGCCAGGGCATGCAAAGCAGGGGCTGGCCAGGGGCATAGTCAGAAGTTTAAAAATGACAATTTGGCATATAAGTGTGAATGTGTTTTTCAAGATGAGAAACTGCCCTGTAACACAGAAATAATTTTAATAACTAGTTTTTGGAAGTAGTTTCAACAAAGGAATACGTACTGAGCTTTGAAGAGCAGGTACAGCCAGGAAGAGGGCTATGGAGGGCTGCTTCTAAGAATCTGGGGAAGAGGCAAATCCAGCCTGGCTATTATCTCAGAGTTAAGGCATGTTTTAACCCTTGACCAGCAGGAAACTATGTGGAGGCACCACCTCCTCTCAGTGACAAGAAAATAAGTGATGGCTGCTGATGAGACTCCTTGGTGGGGAGTGTGGAAATCAGTATGGATTCTTCTCAAAAAAAATGAAAAAGTGAACTTGTATATCACCTGCAGTAAACATGTAATTTAAAGTAACTAAGATGTGGAATCAGCCTGAATGCTCACTGGTAGAAGAATGAATTTTAAAAATGTGATATTTAAAAATGTGTACATAGTGGTGTTTTAATCATCTATAAGGAAGGATGAAATCTTGTCATTTGCAGGAAACTAGGTGGAACTGATGACTATTTAAAACAAAACAATATTGCATATTTTCTTTTATAAATTGTGTCACCATTCTAGAGATGGTGGGACCTGGGAGAAAGGAACTGATAAATGAGGTGAACTAAAGTCTCATGCAATAGTCAACTTTATTTATTTATTTATTTATTTATTTATTTATTTATTCATTCATTCAGAGCCCCAGAAAATTTATACTCTGAGGGTTAAGAAAGGTCACCTGAGTGATGCTCTCATGAGTTCTAGCTGCATACAGTAACAAGGACAAGCTGCACGCAGTAAAATCATGTTTTTCCATAGAGGCAAATAAACATTTAATTGAATAACAGCAGCAAGCAATAATGAGTAATCTGAAGTAAACGCACTCCTATCCAATACACTTGGGAGGGGCATGTAAACACGGCTAAGAACAGTTCTGTGTCTTGAAGAAACTGAGGTCACAATTCTCTTTTCTTGAGTGCTCTCATGAGAACTCAGTATTCTCCTCACAATACTTCATTCCAGGACCCTTCTCCCACAATATGGAATCTAGATTTAAAAAAAAAAAGACAACAAAAAACAATATAGGACATATTATTGACATGT